AATTAGTCAACCTGATGCTGTTCTAAAGCCATATTAGGCTACCTTTTTTTGGATCACAAAAGAAGATTAAAAAGAAAATGCTTGCACTTGTCCAATTAATAAATTGTAAACTTTTTCAATATTTTTACAAAGATGAAATTATCCCATGCAACTCATTCCATAGTCAAAGTGTTCTGAAGGCATACGGTATGGTAGGGTTAGCCGAGAAACAAAACGAAAATGTAATCTATTATTATGCAAAAAGTATTATGCGTTCAAGAAATTAACAGATATGTCTGTGATTGGCTATTGTTCAACGCTGCAAATAGGTTTCTGCAATATCAGATGGGGCCCCCTGATTACCCGGGGCCCTAAGGGGCCGCTTACCTCGCTTATTGGTTAAGTCCGCCCCTAGCTGTACTGTAATCTGATGTTTTTCGTCGCTGGTTCTGCATCTGCCGGTGCAGTGTGAACTAGCCTTTAGTAAAGCTGCATGCTATCCAGACTGGGTGTGCGAGGATGTACAAAAGTGTTTGTGGATTCACAGCCACAATCACTGTTGCATAAGAAGCAAGAAGGGAAGTAGTGCCAGTGTTGATCATTTTTGTTATTTAGAGTCTGTTATTAGGTTAGTCTGTGATCAAGGAAACATCTACTCGTATTGCCAGGAGCTTGCATTACAGTTAGAAAAAAACGGATGGATTAAAAGAGAGTGAAGAACTCACCATCTTAGTGAACATAATCCTGACAGAGCTACATTTACCCCAGAAACTTGCCTGTGGAGAGCTTCCACAGCTGTCTCCTCACCTGATCAGCTGTGTCTGAGAAGAATGAGTGCAGGAACTTAGGGTATTTTGTCATCAGAAGACCATGCATTAGAAGAGACCTTCACTAATACTTTGTAAAATCCATTAAGGAGAGGATTACAGGATGCTCAAGGGGTAGTTTTCAAACAAACTTATGTTGCCTACCTTGTGGTTGCTGTGTCACCAAAAGTGAGGACACATTTGCTTAGTTAAGGTAGCTGGAAGTAACTCTACTTTTAAGTTTTAGTGTCTGTGTGCAACTTTGATTGTAATGAATGAAAAGCATTGTTGAGAAGGTTGTCACATGAAAGTAAGGCATATTATAAAAGTTTTCAATTAACTACAGGACTTGGAGGTGTTCACACAGGGGATGACGAAAGCAGACAAAAGGTGAGGTATTTCTTATTTTTTTAAACGAATTTCAGCAAATGCAAAAACTCATGCCTTTAATACCATTTTGAATGTTGTGCTGTGATTTCCAGACACTACCTACTCTATGTTCAAAGTCACCTAAACATCTTGCTCCGCTGGACAATATATACAGGAATGGCTCTGCACGTTCAAGTCTTGAGCACCCACTGCTCTTAAAACAAAGTAGCATCTTGCCCATCTCATCACAGTCCAGGAAAAGACTGGAAAGGATCTCCAGGCCGTCTTCCAGAAGATCCAGAGGCACCAGAGCAGGCAGTGAAGAGAGCAACTCCTGCAGCAGTAGTAGCCAAGAAGAGGATGAGACGGTGCCTCAAGATACACACAAGATTCATGTGGGCTTAGATAAGTCACTGAATCTGGAACTGGGGACCTATTTGGATTTTCAGGACTTTGTCAGTTCAGTAATACACAATACTAGAAAAGGTATAACTTCAGACAACAAGGAAGGCTATACATCTATCAAATCATTGACTGTCAGGGAAGTCGAGGATGAAATAAGATGCAAGTGTACTAAAACAACTGAAAACTCAGAGGAATTTCTGAGTAAGTCCCCAACCATGGACTGCTGCTCTGTCTCTGAAGAACCCCAAAGCATAATCAGACAAACACAACCTATAGACAGAGGAACCTGTTTTATTGCAGGTGAGAAGCACCTCGCCACTGTGGATACTGATGTAGTAGAACAAACTTCACATGAAAAGAACAAACCAGTTAAGATGATCAAAATAAATGACAGTAAAGGCAAAACATCTATTCAGACAAATCAGTCATTCAATGTTCTGGCACACAGAAAACAAAGTACTGTTAAAACCACAAGGAAGAGGATAAATTCACCAATTCACTCAAAGG